GATAAAATGCTGCTCCAAACATAGCGGTTTTCGATCGGCGATTATCACGATTCGGGTCGATGTGTATCAATTAAATTATTATGTTGTCATTGCAAATTGTAGCTAATGATATAGATGGCGTTCATAAGTCATCGGTGCGGCATTTGTAAAAGATTTCCTTTTTTTCCAGCCAGTAGCGGATGATAAGAATTTCATAAATAGTAAATAAATTAATGAATAAATACGTAGATAGAGTTATTAATAAAATCTCCTTTTTCTCGTTTTTTGCTCAAGCTATGTTTTGATTTATCTCATTTTTCTGCCAGTATACTCGCAATTTCAATCGATTGGTTATTGCTATTAACAGGACATGAGAAAATGATTTTTATATGCATTTTTTATGAAACGTAGCATGTGAAAAAAGTAGAATTTAAAAAACAAATAATGTTCTTTTTTTAATTCTCTTCTGCAATACCTAAATCTGTTTTGCGTAAGGAATATAGAGAACAAAAATAACGTAATTATAAATAGAGCTGTAAAACTTAATTAGATACCTAACCGCTAACATTAGCTAATTTATAATTAATTACTTTTTAGGTATTCATATAAAAGGTAAAAATTTTATGTATTATTTAATCCCGTATAGCAAGCCGTTCATTTAATGGTTATTTAAATACCGCAAAAGCGAAATGAATAAGATTAGAGACTACCATAAAAGTCCGGAAAGCCTATCAGACACACATTAAACGTCCTTATAAAATAAAATCCGTCCCATTGAATTTCTCCAAATGCAACCAAACCATTTGGTTCTCGGTTCTCTACCGTATAAATCTCTATTCGAGATATACAGAAAGTGCAGAGATCCGATTGCAGATAATTTTAAGTGGCATTTCTTGCAGTTTATTGTCATTTTAATGGTAAAAGAAAAATGGTTTGAATTTCAAGCTTGGGCCGTGTGATCGTGTCTCCTGGTACCGCTTAATGGTAGTGTCGTGCGTGGTGGTCCAGATGAGCGCAGTCGCCAACTGATTGCCAAGATAGTACAATTTAATCTCTTTATCGGTACCATCGGGCATGTTGGACTGTGTTAACGCAAATTATTGCTACTTGCGACCCGGCTTAAATTATTGTAAATCCGATCGAGATTGCCGTTCAAATAACTTCATTTGCGTCGAATGGATAAACCTATAAGTATACCTACTTGTTCCCGACTTGACAGTTTTGTATCGAATGTAAAATATTCTACAAGAAGCAAGAAGTTTATTTTAGCTCTTCTTGGAATGCTCGATCTGTTCTTTTTTGTGAAATCTATTGTTATGGAAAATTCTATGTGAAATCTTTTGCGATCAATATATTGCGTTTATTTAATTGTGATGAAAAATAGATTATGAACTGTTAAGTACATATGGGAAACCCGCCCGGGACATTCTATATATTCAAACTTGCAGTACGCCAGAGAGTTTATTTTAAGCCGATGAGTTTATTAAAAACGACTCTGCAGTAGCAAATATTTTTAGATTCATATCTGCTTATACCTATATCCCGATCAAATGAATATATCATGAAAAAGAAATTGGCACGTAGGTGGACGTTACAAAGTGGTTTTCTACCTCCGTCCCGCCAGTCGCTACCGGCGATTTCAAATTATTCCGGCTACTGACTTTGTTGTATTGAATCGAGAAATATGATACATGCACTTTTCTTTGCATTATTTAATACAACTCGCATGGTCCGAACTATTATAAACACTCAAGTTAATTGTTAATTAATGGCACAGAACATAAATTACACTTAGACCAAAAGGGTTGAACAGACCCAGCAGTTGAGGCCAAGGAAAAAAGGAAATGAAAAGGAAGAAGATTAAATTACACAATTTAAATTTTATTGTTTTAGTTAAACTGATGCTTTCGGCAAGTTCGCGTCTTCTGGGAATCCATTTTTTCACTAGTATACGAATGGCAGTGAAGCGAAATCTTTATCAGGCGTAATAACGGACAGAATTATTAGATACGATATGCGTGTTATTATAGAGGAGGGGGCCGTGGCGGTTTACAAGATAACGCCGCGACGCCGTCGCCGTCGCGCCGCATATAAAATATAAAACTACGTGTATCTTTCTTTACGAGATGTGTACAATAAGTTAGAGAAGCAATTTGCATATGTAACTAAGTATGTACGTTTCATATTGCCGGCAACAATATTACGGACGGAGTTTTATGATTTCATGTGACTTACTTATGCCCCGAATGGGATATGTTTTATACGGCCTCTATATGGAGATGAGAATCTGGCAGGTGAAACTAGAAAATGTTGGAACGATGTTTGACGATTTCTATTAAGGGTTACGATTATTGCCTGTTGTTGTATTTCTTACTTTAAAGTCAAAGTGTATGCTGGGGAAATAACTTACACTTTGTTAAAAATGTTTTATCTAAGTCAGACAAAGGTAGTGAAATTATATACTATACCTTTCATAAAATCTTCTTACACTAGTAGCTGTAGCAACATGTTAGTATTTGTACCATATTTGGCATTAGTAAGGTCAATTTTTATCTGTTAAATTGTATTATACTTCTTTGTTTTATCGATCAATTTATTATCTAAAACGTGTAAAGTGAAATTAATTTAATAGCTACAGCCATGTTAATACGGACGCCGGTGTTTTTAATACATCGAATCGCACTGAGCACTATCGAGGTCCATAAAGCTTAAGTACCACGCAATGCTTTTTGCCATCTTGTAGACGACTCTTCGAACATGGTATATCGAGAAATATCTCGAAGCTGAGTTATTGTATCCAATAGGAAATTGTACGCGTCAACATTCCGCGGATTCTTTTCGTACGACTGACGTATTATGTGCCGACGACTTAACGTTGCGCGATAAAAGCTCTTGTACGAATTTTTCGATAAGATTACCCCGTATGCATTCAGCGCCATACGGGATATAAAAAATAATGACCGAATACGGACTTCTGGGATGACCGGTTTTCGAAATTCGAATCATCCGTTCCGAGATAAAGCGAATGATGAGAAAATCCCCGAAAGAAATCAGTGCAAAGTGGAATAAGAGTATGAATATAATTTTGAGTTGTGTAAATTATTCGTAAATAAACAATTATTAAAGTGGTTGGATATATAATTGTAACTTATTCTGTTCAAAAAAATATACAATTTTTTGGTATGTAAATTTACCTTATACCTATGAAAAATATTGGTGAAGTACAGTGGTTCCTTCGCCATTTTTATTTAGAAAAAATATATCCTCTCCAATTTTTTTTCTTACCCTAATAGGCTATAACCACATTACATTCTGTAAATTAGGAAAAATTTCTTACTAGTTTATATCAGAGTAAAATAAATATCAATTTAATATGAACATTTGGTTTGCTCTGTATGGTTGCCCAAAGTAAAAAAAAAATTAATTCTTTAAAATATTCTTTTAAGTCGACGGGGCTTTTAACGATTCTGACAATAATCTTTTATCCGGCCATTCAAATTTTTTAAAGTCAATTTGGTCAGTGATATAGATTTGATAATTACGCCGGATTGGATTTGGAAAAGCTGTCTATACGATTTATTTAGATTCGTATTAAATTTCTTTACGAACATAACTTTTACAAGCATTACAAATTAAGGACTTTATAATCCTTTCGAGCGGCAGATCGAATCGATGGTTCAATTCCAGTTTTAAAACCTACACTGATTCATTTCAAATGTGTACAAAGTCGATTATTCGTCAAGCGAAACTCGAGTTAAGTTATTAAGAATTAAACTAAAAGACTATGAGGAGAAAATTAATTATAAAAAAACTCAAGGATTTTTTTCAATTCGATTTTCAAGTAAAAATGAAGAAACTGTATTGATTAGTGAGAAATCTAATAATAAGTATAGGTGCATGTATCTCGTTTTAAGGAGAAAAAGTTTTTCCTCGTGCGGATTATTTACTCGCCTGCCATTTGCTCGTTTCCCTTCTGAAAATTCAATTTAAATATTAAAACTTTTAGTTGGAGATATTAATTCGGTTTCGCTGTAACAAAAATCTAATTATGATTCGAGTGGAGGATATCAATTACACGTAATGTCACCATTAACTAAATTATTCATATTTAATTGGAGCTACTCATCAAAAAGTTCTGCGGCGACTTCTGTTACAAATTATAAAATATTCAGGAAATTCTTGCGGCGAGGCCCTCATTTCTTTTTAGTGTTATCGCCCGAGCATATTGTATCTTTCTTCGTTCCAACATTTCGCCGGTGCCGTCTTTTGCTTGCCCTCGCGACCGGAGAAAAAATTGTACAGTAAAACATATCAGTGACGGTGCCGGGAAATTTCCATAATCGAAATCCGAACTAATGCTAGCGCGCAATCGATATGCGAGTCGCGAGAAGAGTTAATAAAATCGAAGATTAATTAAAGTTAAGGTCCACTCATTATTAAACCGGTTATGGATTAATTAGCAGCCGTGTTCGTCATTCGAATATGGCGGGGCCATCTAATATTCCGTGATGGATTATAAATAATAAACGTACGGGGTCAGGAAATAGTAATAAAACTGCAACGAATTATTCAATGTTTAAAATATTTGAATATTAATTTTCAAAAATATTTATTTTTTTAGAAGCAGTCGGATCGGCGCCAATGATGGCTATCGAAAGGCAGCGAATGTATCCCCCGGATTAGCTATTGTTCTCAGGTTTTTGAGGGTGATAAGAGACAGGGTGAATAAAAAATCAGCTTATTGCTAATATCAGAGCCCGCAATTATACCAAATGGCTCGGCTGCGGATTTTTTAAAATCTACGACGTTATTATTTTTTATTTTATTGCTAATTGTGCCCTAACCAATTTGTAATTTTCCTCCGAGGGCTATTTTTTGTCGGAAACGATAAAACAGCCATCTGAATTTTCAATAGTTTTACTGCTTCGCTTTGAAATGTTCGGAAGGTTTAAAAATTGAACTCTCTGTTTATTCAATAAACATATTCATATTGGATTGAACAATACTATACTTTGTTTCAGCTGAACTCAAAATGGATGTTCTGAGAGAAAGAGAAGAAAAAGAAAACTTGGAAAGACAGCTAATTGAAGAACAAAAATTAAGAGGTAAGATTTAATATATTCATGTCAAATAGAGTATTAGAATTTTTTGTTCTTCTCTTAAATTTTATATTCATAGTTAGGTACTGTATTATTTTCCCAAATAATTATTTTATTCTATGTACATGAATTAGTAAGAAAAAAGTTCATTTTCAAATGACTTCATAATTAGTAGCGAATTTGTATCATTACCACTTTGTACTCGATACATCGCGTCCCCGTTTCGTTTAATCAATGCTCTTCGGTTATAATAATGGACAAATGGAATTGTTATGGAATAATTGCCATTTACTAAATTAATCTCTCGGTAGGTTTGTTCATATTGATATCGTAAACATTTTATGTTCGAATTGATTATAGCGAAAATGATAAATGAAATTATTTGCGTTACAAACAGGTTTTAATTTTATTAGTAGTGCGCCGTATACGGTTCGTCAATTTCATTTTGCAGTTTTATTTATCCAAATGTATCGAAAAATAATTGAAAGTAAATAATTGTCCTACATTTTATGCATAATAACTGCAGTAAATGACATTAAAAATATAAGTTCCGCTAAAAAATTATTAAAAAAATAGTGTGAGTTGGTACCAATCATGTCAGTTGTATATTAGCCACCTTAAAGTACCATCTTGTTGTTGTTTTGTTGCTTTTATGCGGGCGGTCTTTCCAGCCCCGTGACCACCTAGATCTAATGATCCTCTGTAGTTTCCCGCTGTTTCCCAAGGTCATTGATTCTGCCAGAGGTCGCAAGTATTTGCAAACCTCAGCAGTTCGGATGCCCTTGTGTTTTTGAGATCGCTAGGATCTGAAAGTACCATCTTACATAATACCAAATATTTTTAGAAAATTACCACGACTCATTTCGAATTTTTGAATGGCTTTATACAGTTACAATGGGCATAGGATAAACGTCCCGTAAGTTCAGAAGAACATTTTCCATCAAATCTATATACGATTTAATATCCCTTTGGTGACACCTTCGATATAAAAAAAGTGTCACAAAATCGACATATGCGCCTTGTTCGAATGCTTTATCATACAAATTCTGACGTGGGCGGCTTCCACACTGTTCATCGTCAAACCGAACAATAATGATTTATTTCGTCGGCGTGTCTTCGACATTCAGGACTATCAATCTTTTCTCTCGGGTTTTCACAAATATATAAATTTCTTTCTCGTGCAAGTACACCGAGAACCTGTATAGGATGCTGATTATCGATGGAGAACATTGAAATTCAATTAGCATTATAACATAACGAGTTTTTGCAAACATATGTAAAATATAATGTTATTGTTATCAATTTTTTTGGTTTTAAATATGTTCCTGAAATTACAATAATTTGTTTGAATATGTCAAAATTGATAAGTAAGAGCCTAAGATAAGTGCCTTATAAGTATTAATTATATCTTTTAAACGCTTCATGTTCATTCATGTATGTAATATTTCTATTAGAATTACGTTTTAGAATACAAATGTTTTTCTAGTGTACCTATCTATGGGCAATTTTTCCAAGATTCGATGACATCACATTCAGTGTTACGAATCGATGCGTTGTTGTGACAGTGTCAAGGGGCGAAAATACTACAGCGGAGTATAAAGTGACTTTCCCCTTGCGGCCAAAGTTTCAGGAATCGCTTTAGAAGACGAAACCGCGGAAAATTGCTTATCAATAAGTTGTATCTTTTCCTTGCGCTTCTACAATTTTCACTCATTTAGCCAACTAGCCAAGGACAATCAATAATACGTGCAGATATTTAACTAAATGCAATTTCTCAGCAAATCAATTTAGTATGAAATAAAATCTTTATGGATAAAAACCGTTTTAAATACATACCACGTGAAGAGTAGGTACTTGTGATCATAGATAAAACCGGAAAAATTAATTATAAGGATAATAATCATTCCCATGTTTTCATTCAGTGAATTGCATTCAAAACAGAAATTATTTCATGTGCAACACCAATTTGTAATTTGTGGTGATGTGTGTAATAAAAGTTTATGATGAGCTTTTCAACAGTACGCGTATAATTAATAATGTATAACAATAATCGTTGCACACTCTGTGGGGTTTCGGTTGCGCCGGCTCTAATTGAAAAAAATCATGGCATGAATAAACCGTCTCGAGCGAAAACTGTTTAATCCAACAGTATGTTTATTCTAGTCAGCTTTATTTGAATTAATTACATTTTTTTTACTAATTAATCATGTCTCTTCCTTATAAACTAATTATTTATGTGACATCCTATATAGGTGTATTAATAAAGTTATGCTAATAAATAAACTATAAAATAAGAGACTCGATTTTTTTATCTTCATAAAATTGCTTTTATCCATAAAGAGTCCGAGGCTATTAGAGAACTCGAGGGAGTTGTTCCGTCATGTGAAAAATTCCCAATGAACCCTTAATTTTCACGTATTATACCGACGGAAAAATAATATTTATTCCATCGAATTTCGTCCTCTTTATTTAGATTGAGAACGAGATTACGCACGGTCCATTGCCACGGAATTGCTTCAGGGTGTCGAGCGTTTTATACATACGTACGTTTTTTTAAATTGTATTTATTTATTATGCGAAAAAATAACGCATTTTCTTCCACTCGGTAGGCGTTTATAATTAATTTGCAAATTGGATTTTGAATATGTTTCTCCACTTATGAGCACATAGAATGCCTACCTAAGGGAAATTAATTGAAAGATATGCCAGATGTACTGTTCTAATGAACCTATACTTTTCCTTCAAATTGTTGCAAACTAGGAAATTTAGTGCTCTTTGATTCAGAAAGACTTATTATTTATTTCATCTTAAATACATCATGAAAATAGACTTTATTAATGACTTCTTCATTGCATGTGGCAATTTTTAGAGGAATTGTTGAGACAATAGAGTAAAATTTTCCAGACGATTATTTTTCAATTTCGCGAAAAGTAATTTGTTCGAAACTAATGATACTAAAAAACCTAATTGGTCTCATATCGCGAAGACATCACGCACTAGCAGGAATGAGTCACGTTCAAGTTCGCCATATTTACTAGAAATAACTCAATTATCTCGCTGTGATGCCTCATGATTGTGGCACCAGAGGTTCAAAGATCAGCCAATCAGTGTCTGTTTTAGTGTTACGAAATTTTTGATAGGTTTTTTTTAATTGCACCTTATGCAGCGTTACTGTATTATTTACCTAATGTTTGTGTATTTGAGTAAGGAATCAGCAAGTCATTTATATGGCAGGATTAGGTCATTATTTGTAATTTAGATACTTATTTCGAAGATCAAACCGTTACCTAAATAATTAGTCTTAGCACTTAAAGATTCTACCTTATTTTGAGATTTTATAGATATGTAATAAAAACATTTCTTCATGTTTTGTTTAATGTAAGCACATTTATTCAAATTATCTATGCTTACGCATCTACATAAATCCGTGTTTCATATATCCCCGATTTACAAAAATAGCATGTAATTTCCCATTACGTTCTTTAAATAAATGCCAATATGTACATTCTGACTCCAGAAGCAATAAAGGATATGTCGAAAAATATTTATTCAATGATAAGAAAAACCTGATTTTTAGATTTTTAATTTTATTTGTGTTTATCGAATAAATAATCTTTTATCTGATTTGTAAATCTTGGAAGATTTTAAAATCGTGCGGCAAATTCGTAAGACAAAAAAAGCTTTGAATACCAAATTCATACAAAATAAAGTAATAAAATAGATTGTTTGAGGAAGTGTGTACCTATACATAAATTCAACAGCAATAAAATGAGAAAAATGTAATGAAATAATTTCAATAAAAATTAACAAGCAGGGCAAATTGACTAATTTTTGAGCAGGTAATTAAACATTTTAATGACCACAGAATGGAAACAAGTCGCAAGTTATTTTAACCGAAAAGTCAATTAACATGTTAGATGAAAAATTGTCGCCTATATTCATTGTTAAACCCGACAATCGTATAGTCAAAAACGAACACAAAAGCGAGAATCCGCTCATTTATTCATCAAAATTGAAATGGGCGGAATGGAAATGGTCCTGCGAAAGAGTGGAGAGCGCTCCAACATCCAAGTGTTATATGGTTTTGGATTGAAAGGGGTCGCGGCAACGCGATAGCTTTCGAGCTTTGATCTCATCGACTGCTCCTAATTTTATTCCACTCCACTCTAACTCATTTATATTGAACACAAATGACCAATGGTCTCAGTAAATTACTTGTCAATTGCTTTCACAAAGCAGTGCAAACTTTAATTTAAATGTTAACGCTTTCCGCATTACTTTGCCCGAGTGCGAATAGCCGATTCGAATAAAAGCGAACTCCATTATTAACTCTTTTCAATTTGGAAAATTAATTATCCAAACTGAAATTGGAATATTATCGTGTATGCATACGTGGACTAGGTGTGAAGTAACTCTATTTTACAGTTAGTTAGCTTTTATTCAATAAAAATTCGTACCAGCTCATACTATAGGTACATACGTCAATAAAGTAGAAATTATAAACTTTGTACGACTGATAGTTGAATTAAAAAATCTAATTAGGCAGGAAATGGAGCATTATCCTTCGGAAATAAGAAAGAAAATTTAAAGTTCTTATGACATTTGGAATTCGGAGCAGCTTTCTTGTCGAAGGGGTTCTATTGAAAGGAACAACTCCAAAGTCGTATTAATTTCAGCATTAAAAGAGAATACCTACTTCGTTCACCCTTAAAGAAGATATAGTAGTGCAGGGGTTAGTTGGTTATTGCCTTTTGTTATTCCTCGAATGACCTTTACGAAATGCCACGAGATATTTCATACAAAAGACGATTGTCTTTTTCAATCTTAACTCGGTTTCTTTTTTTTTGAAAATTTATCAAGCCCTATATGATATGTACGCAACCAATGTAGACAATTTACCAGACACTTCTTGTAAAGCAGATTTATTTTTTCCCTTTCTTGCCACCTTGAGGTAACTTAAATGGTTGTTTCTTCAAACTTAACAAATCAAGATTTATTTAAAAACC